GTTTCATTCAAGATTTTTTGTAAAACTTTAGAATTCCAAAAGGTTTATGCAAGGATGCCTAGCAGGCTGTTCACTGTTATTTTCAAATTTGTCCTCATTATATATACTGAATGGTATTTTTTGCTCTCACTTTGGGAGTCTCTAGGGTAAGAAAAATGCAAGAAAACATTATCGTTGCCAGCCTTGCAGAACTGAATGTGCAGTAAATCTCATCAAAGTTGCATGGTTCACTAACAAGTTGTATGATTTATGATGAAGATTGTGCCTTCATACTTCATATTTTTTTGTACCCTCTTGCTCTACATTAATTCTCCAGGGAGAAGTGTTATAATCTGATTTCTTTGCCTCAGTTTTTGAGAATTTTTTCCCTGTTCTTATAGACCTAACTTATTTTTATTGAAGCCAAAATTGCCTTAAATTTGAAAGGAAAAAATCAATGTTCAATATAGACTTTAAACAAGCAGTTTGCAGATAAGTCATTAATAATTGGCATACTGGGTATCTGGCACGCTTGTCTGCAGCCTCAAGTGGCAATTTTATAGTCACATCTCAATCTTTCTTGCTAAATTCATCATAGGTGTATTTGCTTATTATATCTTTTAGATTCTCCATCAACTTATTAAAAGATAGGTTTTAGCAATAAATTGTATGTTTTAAAAGGAGAGCATTTAATTTATTTCAATGATGGCGATTTTTTAATTACTGCGAATTAATTTACCATTTCTCTGTTTGAATTGGAAACTTTTAAGCAGCAGTAAGTATAAATGCATCTTGAAAAGGTAACTTTTTAGCAGCAGTAAAAATAAATGCATCTTGAAAAGGTTACTTTTTAGCAGCAGTAAAAATAAATGCATCTTGAAAAGGTAACTTTTTAGCAGCAGTAAAAATTTATGCATCTTTGGCTTCAGTTTTTCTCAATGAAATTTCACATGTTCTTAATCTGACAGGTTCACATAATTTTACATTCATTTTTCTGCTATGATGTCAAAGTTACAAAGGTAAGAGTTAAGGCCCACACACATTGGGGATTAACATTATCAAAGTGGAATCAAGCAAAGGAAAATTTTGGATGAGATAATTTTGTTTCTACTTTGTTCTTGAATAAATGAAAAGTTCAAAAGAATTGAAACTGTCATATATATAATATATATATATATTATATTGATATAAATAGATCTGTCGCTTCTTGGATAAGTTATATGTTGTTTTTTTTTCTACAAAATGATCATACCTATGATGTTGTTGTTTTTAGTGGTGAAGGTGGTGTTTTTTACATGGCAAGAATGTTTCGTGCATGGTTTTTGCATCAATGTTACCTGTTAGAGAAAATAAAGATTGTTTAGTTTCTGTTGGTAAAATGGAATATTTTTGCTGCTTCATCATGTTTATTTTGTTAAGGGATTGAGTTGAAGTCATATCGACTCTGAGAGGTCATACATAAAACTATGTCTACTGTCTATCAAGGTGCCAACAATTGGCATATAGTCTTGGAATTAAAGACAATAGCTCTTCGTTAATATGTCTAAGAATGCATGATAAAACAGTTATACATATAACAGTTATACATGTAATTTTATGTAAGATATGTGTTTTTTTTACAATGACTGAGCTCTTTGTTATAGGGGAAAAATGTAGCTTTTTCATGAAGGAAAAGTAGCTTATTTTTTCATAAGGGAAATTTATTTGACTGTATAAAGCCATGAGACTCTTTTCCCTCAGAACCCTGTGAGGTATTGCACATTTGAAACTGGATTATTTTTCATGTGTCATCCTTTTAATAAGATGAAATGCAATATTGGCCAAAACAGAAATTTGATGTACATAACTGTTATTAAGTACAGCTGTCCTAAAAAAACGAAAAGCTACCGTCAAATTAAAATGTTGCGTACATTTTTTAACAATTTTAAGTCATTAAAAACTTGCAGGAGGTTTAATTATAAGTCTTAAACGGAGAGTGTTCCATTTGCCAGAAGACTTTTAATACTTCAAGTTTGGCTGTCCAGGAAGCAGTCATTCTCCGTTGCTAGCGAAGTGCAAATTTCAAAACTATATTTTCAAATAGGCCTTTTAATAAAGGTGTTGCTAAAAGATTAGATATAGGTCTGTCAAAGATTTGGCAAATTAATGCGTTTAAATTTTGACATTTGAATAGAGCGTTGTTTGGACAAAATGTTTAGGTCACCGAAGTTGTGTTTAATTTTGAAGCTGTACAAATTGGTATAGATAGCACGTCTTCATAGAATTTAAGTTAAACACCTGAACCTGATTCTGTTTGAAAAGGTATGAAAATAATCATAAATTCTATTGAAAATGATTACGCAGCCCTCATGCAGTCCCAATTACGCGTCAATGTATTTGCACATACTAAAATGTATAAAAAAAATTATGAAACATTAGACCCCGTGGTTTTTCTTATTTTCTTATTGCATAATATTATTTTCCTTGAAATTTGATGAATAAATTTTGTTAAATGAAAAATATGCTGATTAAAGGGAGGTGATATATTTGTGTCAGTGTTCTCAATTTTTTTAACAGATCAGTTCTATAGATATAATCCCTCAATAGAAAGGGAAATAAGGATAACAAATATGCAGTATCAAAAAGATTGATAATTATTTTGTCACCTGCAAAGAATCAGACAAGAAAATTTTGAATTAACAATTTAAAAAGCGATTTGCGATTAATTTCTGAGAGAAGACTTGTGAGATCGGAATTCACAAGGTTATCATTTCTGTATCTTTTTGTAATAGTATATTCCGAAATTAGAGTATAATTACAATGTCATCATTTTGTCAGGAACATCATTTACGGAAGATGTAAAGCCACGATTTTGAGAGAGGGGGGGTAATGAGGTATCACTTTGAATAAAGAAAAAGTCAGATATTTTAATTCATTTCGCTTAACAGAAGACAAAATATGGCGATTATGCGCAGACAAATAGTACCAGACGGTTTTTTGACACTCTGACGCTACTGTTTTATAAAAGGAAATGATCTTTTTCCTAACATCCCCCACTAAGAAGATTTAAAGTTTATATTCTTAGAGGCACATTGCAAAACATATTTGATCGTTTCTATTAAAAAATTTGTAAACAATGTTTAGTAATTCTTAAGAAGGGTGTTTTTTTTTTTTCAATGATTCAGTTTGAATGATTGTATGCATTGAGGAAAGTTTGAACACGGGTGTGTTTGTTGATAATTGACAAGAAATACAAATTTGTTTGTATTGTCCCTGCGTCAAAATAAAGTGTTGCGACAGCTTATTCTAGACGCCTGATATAGATACTACGGCATAATGTTGACGCTGTGAGTATTGATCAAAACCTGTCTGTACTCTCTTTAATGAAAACCGAAAAAAAAACACAGGGTAGAAGTTGTAACTGTTGCCTTATTGTCTGATGATAAATTGATTCCAATTTGAATCCTGTTATATTTGTATGAATTTATTTTGTATGACATGTTTGCATAAGATTATTATCATAGTTATTATTTTTTTACCTGGTTAAAAAATACTCATCCGAAAGAGTTTTGAAATAATTTAATATGTTGGGATGTCTTTTTATGAATATCTTCAGTTGTGAGCACATTATCAGGATGGTTTGAAATTTTTGTGTTGAATTGCATGCCGGGCATACTGATGGTTAATATTTTGTCGAAAGTTAATATTTTGTCGAAATGTAAGGATATATTACATGTATAAGTTATGAACTATTTAATTTTATAATGATCTAATAGGAAAGGACACTCAATGCATATACATTTGGCCTTATAATAGTCACAATAGTTTACATAGTCTGTCATACTGTTATTCAGCCCTGTATTAAAACATTGATCGTCACTTAGAAATATTCTGTATAATTCTTGTATATATTTGTCCTCTTGACCGAGACATTTATTCCGTCATGTATTTGCTTCATTGTTCTGCAGACGGACAACGTTATTGATGAGCATGGTTTTCCCTCTGTTTGGTAGTGCAACATGTCATTGGTGAAAGTCCAATTTCAGCCCAATTACTGCGATAAATTGAACATTAGAATGTCCAGTTTCCATGAAAGGTTTTTCATAGTGATGAGAAATTGGATTTCGCTTTCGATCAATCAAGCTCGATCAAGTGCTTGACCATTGGTCATCAGCTTTCACTGATTGAAATAAAAATCCTGACTTTCGCTGAAATAGAAGCTGCGAGTACGGGGATATTATTATTGTTTTGATATTCATAGTAAATTGGCTGTGCAGTAAAGCTATTCAAACTGTCGTATATTCTATTTCAGTCAATATTTTATTTGTATTTTCGGACCATCTTTTCAATGCTTGTCAATACTCGGCTAGTCAACGTTTTCATAGTTTCTTAAGGTACCTTTGTTGGTCATTTGTAAGCAGTTAGTTAATTAGCTAGTTTGTATCAGTTTCCAACTAGTATTTTACCCACGGGGCATGTTGTTTCTTGTTTTATTTGCTTTTTTGCTAATGGACATGCACTGAATTGACCTTGGTATGCCTTACGGTCATCTCGGGTCAAACGGTCAAGTCAATTTATATGTGGTCAATCACTGGACTGTGCTTGACAGACCATTTTACTCTCCGTTGTTAATACTTAATTCTTTTGCAAACAAATTTTCTCTTGATATAGCATACAAAAAAGAAAAAAACAACAAAAAACTTCTATTTACTTCTGTGTTTCATTTGTCATGATCTGTCATACATAAATTATGATGTTGCAAAACAACAATAAAGAATAAAAATACAATAACTGTTTGTTACTAATTTATAATGTTGTTTTTATCAGTTTTAAGAAACATTGTGATATTAATAAAATCAGACTACAATAGCATTAGTGAAGGTTTGACTTTGTAGTGGGGCTGAATATCATGCAATTTAAAGCAATTGGCCCCAAACTTGCAATGAACAATGTTTTTTTTGTTCCAGCCACTTTACATGATATTTTGAGAGAAAAAAAAAAAAATAAGTATTTTATTAAAAATTTTTTTACTTTATTTTCAGGTGTGATAACAACAACAGGCAAGCCTCTAGATAGGGAACAGCAGTCCAAACATAAACTTGAGGTAAGTTTCTCGTCCTTTAGTAGACAGTAGATGAAATTGGCCAAATTTCAAAGAAAGTTTTGCCTGCTGCAACAGCAAGCCTCGTTGCTAGGACTTTATATGAAGATGATTCTGCCAAATTATAAGCTGAAAACTAAAAATAAAGCATGTTTAAAAAAAAATTAGTATATCTGTTTCAAATTTTTGCCATTTTCTGTTGAATTCTGAATTGTAAAGTAGCAAAAATGAAGTACCAACTGCCCGACAATAAGTGTCGGTGGAAAACATTTTTGCTGTCTTCATCATAACATTATTTTGTAAACTGACATTAATTTGTCTGATGTGTAGTATTAACGTGTAAATAGTTCATGTCCGGACAAAGCGAACACAAATCATGTTGCTGTCGGTATTGAAATATCTGTAAGAAAACCGGTTACAGTAATTGAAGAAGATGGCATTCATACAAATTTAAATGTCTGAATTAAATTCTCTGGCACATAAATCGTAATCAACAAATTCAAATCTGAAGGAACTTAATATATATGTTGAGTTTCAATTGGGGAATATGAAATAGAAAAACAGAACTCTTGTTATAATATTATAAAGTATTTAAATTTTCTAAGATTTTGTTTATGATTTATGATAATTATCACCTTTGTAAAATTATTTACGATGATAACGAATTTCATTTAATGTATATGCTCCTGGCCTTTGCTCTTTACCCAAGTGGTTTAAAATGACATGGTAATTAAGCTTCTTGGTAAATAAATTAAAAGCGAAAAGATTTATTTGTATTAAAAGTTAATTAGACTCTCTCAAGTTTGCACCTGTGTTCCGGCATATATGTATGAAGATGATGAATTATCTGTCCTGTAAATTTAGCATATTCCATTACTGGTGTAAACATTGAGGTTGAAAATATTTACATAACAGATTTTACTTAAGACATAATGTGAAGCTTATTGCGCAATGTTTTACTACACATGGATACAAAATGGAGACAGATAGATACCATATAAGGTCTATAGATTCAAGAATAGCAAGCAGCAATTTTTGTTTTGTTTGGTTTTACCATATATCTTAAGACATAAGTCATTAATACACCTGTAGTTTGTTCAGGTAACATTTCAATTTGATCAGAAGTGGTTGTTAAAATAATGCAGTAACTTTTCTTTAATAATTCAGTCGCTTTTAGAAAGAAAGTATTAACTATTATGTCAGTGACAATTTAATTCCGGCATAGAATTATATTGACCAATGAAAAGCCTGAGATCCAAGACAGAAATCAGAAGAATGTTTTATAACCTTGAGGCTTGTTGTGAGCTTACAGATCTTGACTCAGGTCCTGTATCTGCAAAGTTACTTTACCTGAATTAACCTGAGACTTATTTTGGAAGATTTGATGGCAAGCAGACGTCAATCAAACTATGATATAAGATACAGTAAACATGCAAGAACAGCAAAAAATAGTAGCAGTTGCACTTTCAACAATGGAGGGTAATTTTTTGTTGATGATTTTTATAAATTCTTTCGGTGTGTTCTGAGTACAAATAGAAAACACCTGTTTTATCATCTGACAATATAGACCAAGATAGAATTTATTCTTAACAAGAGAAGGAAGAAAAAACGCAGAAGATGCATCTCTGCAGGTAGCTAGCATAGAATGCAAAAACACAAACATTGTGTCTGTTACCACTGGGTGGTTGTATAAACATCGGGTACAGGTGTTTGTTGTAAATTCGACTGATGCCAAGTAATTAACAAAAATATTTGTCTGAGAATAGAATATTAGCTGACCCACACGGTCAAAAAGTTCTCAAAATAAATGTCAAGAAAGTTGTATTTTTACTAGGTGGTAGGATTTTTAGGAGGTTTCTGAGAAATTGCAAATTGTAAATTTGAAGGATATTTTTGCTATACAAATTTCAGAATTATTTTAGATTATTTCAGACAACAGCTTCTGAAATAATTTATTTGTAAAGCTGATTTTTGTATAGATATTTTTAACAAAGTAAATTATGATAAAGCGTAGAAATTTAGTGATAATTATTTTCTTCTGCTTAATAAAGTTGGTTAAAATCACAAAATTTTATGCTGAATAGATCTTAAGTTGAGATTTTGTCAACTTTTTTTTTCTTCCTTTTCATTTATTGCGAGATTTTGGGGTACGATTTTGTGACTTTATGTCCTTGAGGTGACACCGTTTTCTGTGGTAATAAAAGTTTGACACACATTGTGTTAATGGAGAGGACGTTACTGATGAACGTGTTGATATAGCCTAATTTACTGATATGCATGGTGATATCCAGAATTTAGGTATCGTTAACCCCTCTTTGTAAATTACTTATTTGGCTTTGTTACCACTCTCTTTTGACCTAATTTTTTCTTACTTTGCGTAATTGGAAGAAATTTGTTTATTTGAAACTTCAGGAAGTTACCTTTACATATCAAATATCCACTCTCCTACTTTATGAGCGAGCTAGAGTGTCTCGATAGCTTAAAATATATGAAAATTTCAGAAAAATGATTATGGGGGACACGTTTTAAACAATGTATTTTGTTTTTCATTTTGCTCCCTGGCGTATTGTTCTATATGATTTTGCAAATAAAATATTTTTGTTCTGCTGTGAAGGGTCCCTTTTGCAGAGTTATGGCCCTGCAAACAATAAATTAAAATTTTTGTTTTGCATTTATTTTTGTCCCTTTTCTTATATAATACAGTTTTTATTAGCAGTAAATCTTTCAATATTAGATATAAAATGTGAAGTTCATTAGCATGCCTAAACCGAAATAAATGTTTTTATTTTTCAAAGTTCCTTGTTGTTTTTTTAAGTTTTATTAAAACTTTAGCTATATTTATTACTTTATGATATAATGATGACAAAAAATAGAGATAGCGGAGAAATAATTTATAATTATAATAAAACAATAGAGATTTATGGCATGTAATTATTTCTCATCTGGGTGTTTAGCTAATGAGGTTTCACTGTGTATGAAATGATTAATATTATATTTCATTTGTGCTTAGAAAGTTATGAAGATACATTGTTTTTAGCTCTACTAATTTAAAATTCATTTTTGTTTTCCGTTCATATTTTCACTTATTTCTTTTTTGTACTAAAAATTGTGTGCTTTTAGAAAGGTTGACACAGTCTTGTATGTTACATAAAGAGTACAATTAAAGATAAATTACGCCTCTGAAAAGAAAAGTTTTTCTTTCTTTAGAATAGTTTTAAAATGTTTAAATAATGGTTTTAGAGCATGTAACATGCTTATCAGCTGAAGAAAGGAGTGCTGAACATAAAGTATTTGTTCTAAATGTGACAAAATGTAAACAAAGTAGTATTTTGACTTCCAAACAAAATACCAAATCAATATAACTTTATTTATTGCTGAAAAGCAGCAGAAGCAAAAGATGGTGCAGGTAATTGGCCAATCAGCAACATTTTGGACACTGTAACAGGACACCAAAAATAAAAGACTTTTGAGAAATAAAAATAAGTGTTTACGAGGCACAACAGGTCTTGGGTCTTTCACATAAAATACATGGTTTCAAATTTCTTTGATATGCAAAGTAACTCTTTGGTAATACATGAGTAAAAAGTTCAGGTTGCTAATAATATAACAAGAGTAATAAGTGAGTTAGACAATACAATGTTGCAATCATTGTTTCTTATGATGATTATAGGAGAGTAATTATACAGAAAATATGCCTGTGATTTCCTATGGTGTTTTAGCCGCTGTGTGCCAATTTTTAAAGGTTTTCCATTATGTTTATAATGATATCATAATGATGAGGTAAAACTCCTCAAAGACATTAGGATTATTCTGTCAGTCTAAATACTTCTCTATTATAACTTATATAAATAATAATATGTGTTCAGAAAAAAGTCTGAAAAATAAGGCCTGCCATTTTTTCTTTTCTTTGATACTTTTTGCTGTTTTCATTTTCCATGATACTAATTCCCTCTGTGAAGTAAAAGTGCACAGTAACCTGAAAAAGTAAGTCCTGCTATTTTCTAAATTTTCTAGGATACCATTTGCTATTTCCTGGATTTCTTTGATACTATTTGCCTGTAATATAATAGCACTGTAACCTGAAGAAACTTATATTATGAAATATGAAGAACAACTTGAAGGCATTGTTTCTTTTTTCTTTGTAGATAAAAGAAAAATCATATGTGCTTCAGTTACTTCATGTAAGAAAAATTAGTTATAAAAAAAATTAGTTACGTAAAGGAGAAAAAAATGTTTTGAAATCTATAGGAAACAAAAAGGCAAGAGATAGAGCTATATAGCTTAATAGATCTATTCATCTTTAATTAATCAAATGGATTAGAGCCAATCTAAACCTGAGGGGAATGTAGTTCTTTGATAGCACTAAAACTTAATGAACTCACAAGTACTACCTCTGTGTTTTTGTTGTTGATTTTTTTTCATTGATGTAACATCACGTGTAAAAAAATATTTAAGAGGATATTTTACTTACGATACACCAAAATTATGTGTTGTAAGAATTTAAATAAAGAGAGTTCTGATTCTTTTCACAGTTAGTTTCTCAAGCCCTTCGAGGGCTATAATTCTGCATAAAATCTTGTTTTTTATGAAACTCAAGGGGGTTATTAAAAACACATCTTCCTATTGATTTTGAAGCCCTATAATAAAAGGGAATACAAGGCTATATATGTTTTTACATTTCAGATGCTTTTTGAAGTCCTCTCTAAGAGTATTAACTTAGGCAACTTAAATAGTGAAAGCCTAAATAGGGATGGTTTATGTTAAAAGTCTGACATAGTGTCAACGCATGCAATACTTAGAAATTGATCTATTTACTTGAAGCCAAAACAAAGTAGGTCTGAGGTTATAAAGAAATTTCTGAAGCTCAAATTCAGATCTTACTAGAAGTTGTTACTCCTTACCACTGAAACTCTTAAGACAGGCCTCAGAAAAAAGATCTATTACCTGCAGACTCTTTTGAAGGGCTTGAAAGTTGGTGTCTAATCATAAGTTACTAGGTATCA